CAGTGGCTATCTGAGGTGGGATGGAATCCATCATTTGCAGGCTCCAAATTTATATATTCAAGTTTATTCTATAGACATAGTTTGAAGCAGGCTGAATAGAGCTGGATGTAAGCCACAGTATTGCTGAAGATAGCACAGTGTGCCAGAGCGCTCGACGTGATCCTGGAGCAGGCCGACACAATGGCTGCCTGTTACCCCAAAAAACTGCTGATGAGCAGAGCTCACTTCTCAGCAAGCCTCTAAACAAGATCCCAGCTTGCCTCAGGCACAAGCACTTGCTGGCCAGACTCTTTGGAGATTTTTCACTGGTTTGCCTTTCTCAGGGAATATGGCCCCATGCATTTCCACTGCCAACCAGCCATGCCAGTTGAGCCTTGACCAGCAGGAGAGCCAACGCACCACTCTGCACAACACAGCCTCCACAACGCCTTCTCCCACTGATCTCCTCCTTGCTTCTCTCTCTGCAGAGCCTTACCCAGGGAGAACAGGGCAGCCTGGAGCTGTGCACACCTGCATCCCTCATTTCACTCCTACTCCCTGGCTTTTTAGATCTTGCTCCTCTTCTTCTCCCAGTAAGAGCACGACATCCTCTTCATTTCACAGGTCACAGCTTCTCCCTCACGTCTGCTGTTCTCTCAAGGATGCTAAACAAGCAGAAGACGTACAGGCATCTTCCCAGAGACATTGCAGCAATGTCTCTTTTTTGTATTCGTCAAGTTATTGCTCCCACACACACACATTTAAACTCAGCTCCACCAGCTCTTGAATTTAAGTTGCATATGAGCAGTCTGATCTATAATGGATTTAGCTATGCAAAAGGAAAAATCCTCTTAAAGTTTGGCCCACAGCACAGCAGTGTACAAGAACCTGGGCTGCCACTGCCTCTGCATTATCAGAGTGCCTCACCCAGGGCATCCTACCCCTTTAGCAGATAACCAGCAAATGTCCAGCCTATCTGCTAGGTCAGTATCCCTCCTAAAGAAAAGTCCAGTGAGATAAGCAATCAGCTTAGCCAAGGCCAGATGGGGGTAAGGACTCCCCAGTTCACAATCCTGTGGCTTTAACCACAAAGTCATCTTTCAGCACAGAGTTCAGCTGTTCCAAGAGCCCACATTACTGTCAGATGGGCACCACGGGCAGGTCATGCACTAAGATAGTGAGCATGGAAAGACTATTCCCTCTGTAGGCATTCAGGTCAGTTAGCACCACACACAGGAAGCTACAGAACCATTTCCCACTGGTGAGAAGTTGATAACGGGGTTTTGGTTTTACTGAGCCAGTCATTAAACACTGCTGATCCCACATTATAGAGAAATAGGTTGCAACACACAGAATAAACCAGATCGTGCTGAAGTATTTACCTCTGGATATCTGTAATTATAAACCAAACATCATCAGCTTCTCTCTCTCCCTGCAGTAAATAATTAACTGCAAAAGAATATTCCTCTTGGCTCCATCCTCCCCAATCAATTCTGCTTTGCAACAGCGTGCCGCCTGGATTGCTCGCTGTATCAGTGCACCCGAGTGTCACCCAAACCCCCTCGGAAGACAGAGGTGAGGCGCAACTGTTCAGTACAGCACAGACCTTTCCTTCAGGGTACAAGGGGACATCGTGGCATAACTGCCAGTACTTCAAGCAGACAGCTATGACATACACAGCTTAGCTCATGCACTGCTGCAACATCACTGCAACCATCAGCGGAGGCGAATCACGCACTCTGAGCGCTCCCATCACACCCCTCTGGACTGCCTGAGCTTTATTGCCAAGGCAGAGCAAATTTCCTCCCCGAAAAACAAGGTTTTCTACTGCTTTCATTGTTTCTGAATTAATCTCCCCACCCCTAGATTTCATCCAGGGGTAAAAAAAAAAAAAATAAATTAAAACCCACCAAAAAAACCCACAACCCCAAAACAAACCAAGCCTTCTTTATAACAAGAAACATCATTTTTAAAGAGACTTTCATTTCAGTACTAGATCAAAGTTGAATATTGTGACTGCTCGGTCATGCACTATAACCTGCACAATGACCTGTTCACGTCTTGTCACCTACCCTCATCAACCTGAATTTCATACAGACTCCACGGGTAATAGGTAAACCAGAAAATGTCCAGAGCACTCGTTCCTTTTGCCCTACTGAAAGACACCTCCTGGCTGTAAACCCAGTGGGGAAGAAGGATGATGCCAGGAGGAAGGCAAAACTGCCTGGCAGGAAGGCTGGGTTTGGTCAGACAGCAGATGGAAGCAGGTTGCATACAGATACACAACCAGGGAACAACACAAGGGCTGCCATTTGATCCTGGTTGCTTTCTTAAGGTACAAAGTCAAATTCACTTTTGAAAGAGGTATAAGAACACAAGCAAAAATAAAGAGCTGGGGAAAACCTCCAGAACTGCAGGAATACCCTTCCTGCAACAGCCAGAAAACACGGGAGGAAGGAGAGAAGTATTACCACCAAGCAAACATCTTCATACTCACACACAGTCTGGGTTCAGTTTTACATTTTTATGGGTTTAAACACATACCAGATTTAGTCGAGCTGGCTATGAAGTGTTCAATAAAAAAACCCCACCAAGAAGATAGAGAAAAAGAGGAAAAAAGGCTAATTTGGACTCAAAAAGCATGGAAATAAAGGTTCAAGAAAGAGAAAGAAGAATGGAAGGAAAACCATGACACAAAAGAGATAAATGAAACAGATACCAGGGAAAGTTCAGGAAAAGATAAACTATGCAAAAATGGAATGAAAACTGGAAGGGAAAGATAAGAGAATTAGGAACATGCCATGGCAGATCAGTTGAACGGCAGTTGGCAAATAGATCATTTATTTAATCTCATTCGTATTTGTCAAATAATTTGTTTGATTAACACTCTTTTGTGGTCTTCAGCCAGGTATAGAGCTGATCAAATACCATGTCATAAATATATTATTAGATTAATACAAGTAAAATTCAAATACATTCAACATTTTTATCTGCTGCTTAATAAGCTCTGGTTCTAAATTTGCAGTTCAAAAATGTTAAAATAGAACGCTGGGAATAAATTACAAATAAAGATTACTTGAAGCACAAGCATTTTGCTTTTCCTAGACTGACAAAAATACAGTATACTGTATAACTCATCTTGAGAGACAGAAGAGAATCACCACCCTCCCATAAGGAACCACTCTATAGGCAGTACTTTTTGTCTTGATTTTATTTTGTTGAATGTTTTCACAATATTCAACTCTTCTACTCCATAAAGGTTTTTCACCCCAAGAAAACCTGGTGAGCTCCAAGGGCAGCCTAACAGAAAAATAAATTTGGGGTGCACTGGTAGCAGGAGGGAAAGCAGTGGGAGCCATATCCAGCCTGGAAGCAAATGTTTTATGTTTGAGCTGAGCTTTGCTCCTCTTAAAGGGAAGGGAAACCAGGTGAAGGATGGACAAGGATGCCCCAGGATCTCTACTCTCACAGGGAAAAGTTTCCCACATTATCAGCAGCCTTCTCCAAACCTCCCTGGGAGAACCAAGGAGAAAAAAAGGACGATTGGCAATTTTTCAGCCTGTTTTTATCCCCTCTCCCCCAAGACAACAGCAAGGTCCCCTTGAAAATCCTCAGACCGTAGGGTGAAAGCCAAAGACAGACCATCTCCACACACATGGTGACAGGGCTGCCGGGGAGCCCTGGGAAGCAGAACCAGGCTCAATCAGGAAGCTGTGGCCATGGCTTTCGAGGCTACTCCCACTGCTGTTCTACCTTTACCACTGGCAGCAGCCAAGAATCAAACTCGCCACAGGAGAGAACCACAACAAGGGCAACTCCCTGGGGCCGGAAAAGTGTCCCTCGGGTCACAAGTCCTGTTTAAATATCTCAGCAATATCCCAAACTGAGATAATTATTGCTAATTACAAGATCATTTTTATGTAAACACGAAGGGTATTACCACGCATACTTCATCTCTTTTTAATTAAAAGAAGTAAGAGGTTTGTTGAGATAAAAAAAAGACATGCTGACAGCTCCCACCCAAAAGCAGACTTTTCTGCAGTGATAACACCCATCAGCTTCCAGACCCACTGAGAAGACCAAACAGGGAAATCAATCAGCATCAGCTTCCCCAGTGCTGAAACGAAGCAGTTGGCACATTATTAATCACACAGGAGAAACCTTTTACGAGGAAAAGGAAAGGACCAGACACACAGAGGGGAGATACACATGGATTCAGTCATGGCCATCTTACAAACACTTGGGAAAATCACACAAATCACCAGCTGTAGAATTAAAATATTTCAGAGCTGTGAAGGATAAACACATCAGCAATTCTGACTACAGCAACTCTTTAGCTGAGCCTACACCAAACCTCATGTGCTTTCCTCCATTCAAAACCAGTTCCTGCTCCAAGCTGCACATCCTACCCATGCCAAGCAGACTCAAGTACATCGTTATACAGCCTCACCAGGAGCTCCTACCCTTCCTGTATATCAAAGACCTACCCAGAGCAAGCTGCACATCACAGACTGGAAGAGATACGACCATCCAGCTTTGGACACTGAAATAATCAATGGCTTGACTTGCCATGCAATGGCTTAACAAGCCATTCCTGCTGCTCAGTCCTGTTTCCAGCTGTCCTAAGCATTTCTCCAGCAGCTCCAGAGTTCACCAGTCCACTCTGACTTCTCATCGTCTCTTTTGTCTCCAGGCACGCTCCACTGCTTGAGGCAATTTAAAACGCATCCCCAGTCAGGACCTCTATGGGCCAAGCTTGCCATCAGGTGCACCTTCACTTGGGGTGAAGACGCTGCAGCCCCGGACGCCGCGGCACCCTTGGCAGGGCAGCAGGGCGCAGGCAGCCTCGGCACGCCGCAGAGCCCCGGCGGCGAGCGTCCCTACGAGGGAGGGAGGTGTCACCAGCTCCGCAGAGCCGCATGCTCGCAGAACGGGGGACCTCGCTCACTTGCTCACAGATGCACACAAATACCTGCGCCTCCGCCACCTGCCTGCCCCCTCCGCGCCTCGCTCCGGGCCTGGCACTGCCATGGAGCTGGTCTGCCCTGGGGGGTGTCAGCGCACAGCAGGTACTGGTTTGGCAAAGAGTGGCGAGTCTGGTGCTCCCCCTTTGAAGCATCACACGAGCAGTGTGAGGCATGCAAGGGGATGAGGGAGGACGGGTGCAGTGGGCTATAAACTCGGGGTGCGATGAAGAGGAGGTGAACACAGCTGCAGCTAAGGGATATGGAGGGGAGCGGGACAGCAAGGGGGGGAAAGAGAGGGGCAGCAGCTTGGGAGGGGGAAGGACAGGAGGAGTGCACAGCGGGTGCAGAAGGAGGGCAGGAGATGGAGGGCAGAGGGGGTACAGAGGCTGTGGCTCGGTGGCACCCCACCACCCTCCCACCCCGGCGGCCTGCCGGGGCTCGGGTCGGCAGGCAGCGCCCAGGCAGCAGAGTCATGGCGCGGCCAGGCGAGCGGGTGGGTGGGTGGCCGCCACCGCCTCCAACACCCCGGGCCCCGCCGCCGCCCACCGGGCCGAGGGTCCGTGCCTTTTCACCGCCGCCCCGGGCACGGCGGGGGCAGCCCCAGCACGGCGGGGATACGAACTTGGCGTCGGGGGGAACAGCCCCGCTAACAGGTGGCGCCGGCGCCGCCGACCCGTCCCCGCCGAGCCGGTGGGCGCTGCCCCTGCGCGACGGCGCGTCCCACCCACCGCGACCCAGCGCCAGCCCGCTCCCGGCGGTCACTCACCGGCTCGTCCGCCCCGCCGGGCGGGATGCGCGTCCTGGAGAGCGGGGCGCGGAAGTTTAAAGCCGGCTAACAGTATTATTCGCTTTTGCCCTTCCAACGTAGGAAAAAACCAAACTAGACGAGGCGCCCCCCCAGGCGGGCGAAACCCCGCTCCGCTCCTCCCCGCCGGGGGCTTCAGCCGCGCGTCGGCCCGGCGGCGAGGGGAAGTTTCCACCGCGGTGGTGGAGGCGCCCCCGGCGTGCCGCGCCCGCCCCGCATTGGCACGGGGCGCCGGGGCGCTGTGCCGCCGCCGCGCCCGGACAATGTGCGTGCGGGGAGAGCGGGAGCGGAGCGGGAGCGCGCCCCGCCGGCGGCCGCGGCACACGCCCAGCCCGCGCCCCGCCCTCCCGCCGCTCGGCGCCCGCCCGCCGCCCCTGATTGGCGGCCCCCGCCGCCTCCGCCCTCCGGGTGGGCCGCGCCGCCTGTCAATCACCGCCGCCGCCCGCCCGCCGCGGCCCGGCCGCGGGGCGGTCCCTGGGGCGGCGGCGGCTGAGGGGGGGGCCGGGCCGGGCCAGGCCGGGCGCTGGCTCGCCCCGGCGGGTGACCCCTGCTGCCTCCTCGCCCCGGGAGCCGCCGGGATCGCGTCCTTTCCTCTCGGGAACCCCACTGCGCTTCCCGCCCCGCGGCGGCCCCTCCGCAGGAGCGCCCCGCAGCCGAGGGGAGGGGAAGGCCTGGCGGCCGCCGCTCCCGCAGCCCGCCCTTCCCCGCAGGACTGCCCGGGGCTGCGCTGCCTTTGTCGGCGCCCCACGGAGGCGTTCTGGGAAGGAGCACCAGAGCCCCCTGAAATGTAATGTTGATTGCCAGTCACGGTCCTGCCTGATAACGCGATGCGCTAAACTCGGCTCACAGGGTGCATTTGTCTGGCTCCTGGAAATGCCTGGAAAAATAGATGACTCCAAATTGTTCAAGTGCAATTAAGGCCACAAAAGAAAAGACACCTGAATTGACTCTATATAAGGCAGATGGGGTTCAGTTAGGCTTAGCGGCAGAGATATGCACTGTCTGAGTAGAATTACTGCAATTTCAGATAAAGGTCCAAGCATGTCGAAAGGCTGCCGTCTGATCCTATTTGGGTCCCACAAGGAGCGCCGCTGAAGCAGAGATGGTAAATATTGATGGATTCAAGCTTCGTGTCCTGAAATCGGGTCTGTCAATGCAGTGCTTTCCATTCTGTCACAGTACACCGGACATTTTCTATTCTTGGGCACCGTGATTCCCCTATTACTGTTTGGAAACTACATAGTGGATTGCATAGTCACTGTATTATCCAGCAGCTTGCAGAAGTAATCAAGCTTTGATGCAGAATACGATGTCAAATAAAGTACGTGCTTCTGATACTGGAAAAGCACTGTTCTCTCCGACATATGTTTCAAGCACACTTCCACAATTTATTGTTTCCATTAGAAAAGTATCTAGTAATCTGAAAATCGATCTAAAAACCATTGTTCTAGATACTACGCTTGACACATAATAAAAAGAAAGCTCATGCCCTGCAGAGCTTGTAGTAAGAGCAGATTAAACATGTTCTAAAGATACCCGTTGAGAGAGTTGTACAGGTTTTCTCAGGTCTCACAAACGTGTTGCACCAGCACAAACAAACCTGCCAGAGCACTTTACCAAAAACCAGCACGCAAACAGACAGGTCCAAACAAAAAGGCTGAAGCTTTAACCTACCTCGAAACTCTTCCCTTGCTTCTAACAAGCCCTCCTGACTCTGAATGACCTCTCAGTTCTCCACAGAAGCGAAGGCCGCCGCTCGCGGGAAGCCAGCATCTCTGCCGAGCGAGCCGAGGGCAGAGCAGCAGCGCACACAAAGGTGATGGGTCTCTCCACAGGCAGACACACGCACGCACCGCGCACCGCCTCTCCGGGCTACCTGTCTCGTCTTGTTTTAGCCGTTTCTAACGAGCAGGCAGGCTACTGGAGCATGCAGAAATCTTCCTTTTTCAAGCACCCTGAAAACAGGCTTGTATTTTTCGGTACCTAGGTGGCCCAGAAGAACTTGTCAGGAAGCAAGCATCAAATAGGTAGTAAAATAGGCATAGCTATGGGGGAACCTCAGTTTTGTGCTTCTTGGGCTTCTCAGTGACCTACAAGAACCAAGAAACACCAGAAGAGGAGACTGAAACTGCCTCTCTCTTGCTCATTCTTCAGTGCCAGATCACATCAGGCTGTAAGATACCTGAGGACTATTTGTTTGCAGACTGCTGGAAGACAGAGACGGAATCACCTATTGGTGAGTCATAACCACACAATCTCAGAGGGGTGATGGCACAGACTTGCAAAGACCCAGAGAGTGATAATAGCTTAAAAGTGTCTTCTTTCCCCTTCTACTTTTTCATAAAAAAGCAAAATACTGGGACTAGATCCTCAACTGTGGCAAAGCAAAGTAGCTCCATTGCTTTTGTCAGAGCACAGATTTACACTTTCTGGGGTCATAGCCCATTCTGTTTGTAAAAAATTGTTCTCCCTGAACAGATTATTCCTTCCTTTCTCTAAACTTGAGTTTAATTCTTGGAAAATGCCTGGCTTGCAGTGTTCTAACTGTTGTAAGCCTTGCTTGACATGAAAGGAAGGCTAATCAAATACTGGGTCCACTGGCACGCAGAGCAATAAAAAGGAGAGTGAGAGTATCCTAGGTCCTTACTGCCACAGCAAAACTCCAAAAACAAAATGTGCAGTGGAGTTGAAATACCTTCAATCCCCATACCTTCAATTTTTCATGGTTGTTTTCACCAAACTATATGTAGCTTGCAGTTGGAAGGCCATAACTCATAGACGTGCTTATCGTGTCATGGCTTTTTGTACCAGCACTCTAAAATCAGTCTGTAAAAGCACATTACTGATTTTTGTAGGTGCTGTGACCCAAAATTAACTCCTTGGTATTTTCACTCCCTCTTAACTTCTGTAAGAGGGGAATTATAAGAGTAATTAAATAATAATTGTAAGAGTTTATGTCTTAAGACAGCTGTCCACTGTGTGACATACAGACATGCCAAGAGCTTAGTGAGCAACTGAGCGTCCTCATCAGCTACAGATCAAGGCTACATTTTTAAAATTAGTCTTTTTTGGAGTGATTTCTACTAGAAACACCTAAGTTGAATTATTCTTTCTTTCTCCCTAGTAAAAAACTCAAAAGAACAAGAAAAGGTCTTCCTGTGATCGTCAAAATCACCAGTAAAGTAGGTAGCGGTAATTTTTTAGCTTCACAAGGGTACATACTTATTTTTGATATACTGGAGAGTTTATCAGTTCTCAGCAGACACAGAGAGTAGATCAGTGGTGTCAGTTGCTATTGTTGTTCTGAGTCTCCTGTTGTCCCCATAGCTACAAGTTCACCTGAGTTTTAATCATGCAGATTGCTTTCTGGTTCTTTCCATGGCTTTTGAGCTCACCCTAGTCTGTTTTCCTGGATGCACACTTTTTCTGTGTAACCAAAACTTTCTTGGAAAGTGTTTGCAAGGAAGGCTCTGACACTCTGCTCCCTTTAACAATGTCTCTGAGAGCATTCTGAGAAAAGCAGAGATCTCTGTGAGTTTTGCTTCCCCGTTGCACCATATTCTTCATGTTTTTTTAATTTAGTCTTCCTGCAGATACACTAGACTCAAGAAACCTGCAAGTCCTTTTCTCATACTGGGATGTTTTCTTGCTCATCTCTCCCTGAGCTTAGAGGATGAATAGTGTCATGGCAGAAAACAAACCGATAAGCAATCAACTTTTAAAAAATTCTATCTTTCTAGGGAATGCAAATTGTTTCCTTGTAGTATCTGACAGAGTAACACAAGTAACTTGCCATGGCAACCAGCTTATGGAACAGAAAAAATATATATAATTACACAGTGCTTTCTTACTGTAACAGGGAAAGAAGCTGAGACCTTATCAGTTTTGTTCACTTGTGTGTCATGCATCATCTAGGTAGCAGAACCTGTCAGTAGAAGTTTGTGTTCCATTCAGTGCAAGTCCTCTGCCTTGTGGGCCTATCTGATACTTGGATCAAAGCTGAAGTGCAGTCAGAAGGAAAGAAGGAAGCGTTCAGAAGAATTGAAACAAGGCTGGATTCTCAGAAACACAAAGACAAATCCATTTCCTCAGCAAGCTGATGCAACTCTGAAGATGCCAGTAAGGGACGAACCAATTCTGAAATTAATTTGGCTTGCATTCTCTGACAGTCTCCATTATTTTACTGTCTTCCTTTATTTTTTTTTTAAAGTGATGTAAGTCTGCAGATCTGTTAGTATTTTGGATTTACCTGGGACAAAGGATGGAATAGGCTTGCAAAGTCTGTCTTCAAACCCCTTCTCTTTACAGAGATGCTTCTGGAAAGGACAGACTCATTGCCACTCAGCTTGTTTGGACTAGTGAGTCAATTTAGAAATGACAAAGGGAATCAGCTGAGGACAGAGAGGGGAAACCCTCATAGTGACCACTTTGGGAGGAAATAAAAACTGAGTTTTGTTAGCTCAGAGGAGGACAATTTTGAAAACTGTGCACAGAGGCCAGTGGAACTACCCTGTTCTAAGCATAGGCTCATTTACAGATCTGGAGTGGGTCTATGCTTTACTCTGGATATGGAAAGGATGTCTTCTGTGGGACAGATTTGAAAAGTGAAGGAAAAGCTGGAAGTTTTTTAATCCCTTGACTACTGATTTGAGCCACAAGTAACACAGCTCCAACTGTGTGATGGACTGAAGTGTATGCTCCCCTTTCTATTTTAAAAACACTCTCTCTCAGTTAAAATTTATGCTGTTCATGCACTAGTGCTAATTCTTGAGAAGCAGTGGCCAGCTTTCCGAGCTGCCTGGGGCCTAGCTGAATTCACAGGTAAAGTTCTCGTGACTCATGGACAATTCTCTTCTAGCTTCCTGGTGAGCTTGTAGAGAAAATACTGCTGGATTACAAACCCTGACAATAGCATGACTTGGAAAGAAGCCTCTGAAAAGAAACTCTTAATGTAGCAGATAAATCTGTGTGAGATGCAAAGCTAGAGTTCACTCTTGACAATGAATTCTTTTACTGTGAGTGACTGACTATAAAAAGACTTGGGAAAAAATCTGAGTCTCCTGCAACACTAAGAAACCATGAGATAAATAAAAGTCATCTCAAAGGAACCATGCTAAAACCTTTCAACACTATAATTTAACAGAGTCTCCTAGAGACTGGGAAAAGTCAGTGGGCTTATCCTTGCTGCAGGTTGTACTAAGAGAGATATAGCCACAAGAGACATCAAAAGTGTTAAATGCAACAAGTGTGCACTGTCATCTCAAAGGCCTCGGAATCTTGGAGATACTTAAGACTTGAAGCAGCAATCTAACTGCTGAAAAAAAGACCAGTTAGTCCTGGCTGCAAAGGGTATTTAAGGCTGACACTGAACTGGAAAGATCTCCTGGAATAATCAATTAACAGAAGAAAACACTGAATTAATTAATTAATCAATCCTCAATAAATCAACAAAATCTTCCTCTATATCACTTCCAAAAACATGACATCATCATTCAGATGACCCAAGCAGTGAATGGGACCACGTTGTTTTTAATCCCCAAAATAATGGCATAAATAGTGGATTAAATTCTGCTAAATAAGAGTGCTCAGGCTTCTTTCAACCAAACCACTTGAAATGTTGCAGAAGATTCTTGGTGGGCAGAGCAAAGTTGTCACTGCTGGAGGGTTATCTGATCCAGGACAAGATCTTTCTTATGATGAATTTCCTTTTTGAAATAAGCAAGGCAGCATCTTGCTAGGTGCCTGGCCCAAGCTCCACCAAAACTAGAGAGAGAAAAGACTTCTGTTGACTGAAATAAATTTTGCTAACAGTTGGATTTGGTCAATTTTGAACCGAGAATAGAAACTTGCAGAGAAGATGCTTTGGAATCGCAGAAATGAAAGGCTTTGTAATCAGAGCTTGGAAGTGGAAGGAGATTCATGTTCCATAATTTAAAAATACAGACAGCTGCTGCTGGTTCCTTTTTTTTGCTATTAAAAACCCCACAACCCAAACACACAGACACACACACACACACAGACACACACACACACACACGTGCACACAAAAGACATAATTCAAAGACTGGTCATTTTCCCAGCCAGCCTCCTTATAGAGACACTGTGGGAATGAACAACTATCACATCTCCCTAGGTGTGGCATGCAGTAGTTGGTAACATGAGGCTCTCCCCTGAGTGGATGATGGCATCTTGGACTTCAGATTTTGCTGTGTGGCATGAGCAGGGGGAAGAGATGAGATACGGGTTTGATCTCTGGGTATTTACAAGCAGTGTGGCTTTCTACAACTGCCTGCTAGTTTCAGTCTGATCTGAAGCACACTGACCTCTGCAGTGTCCCATTTGTTCCTGTGGGTGTTTGCTTCAGCCCCCAACAAATGTTCTTTTTGAATATTTGTGCTTTTTCCAGGGAGTTGTAGCTGATCATGTGGTGAATCTGGAGCCTGAGTTACTTAGAAATGACACTGATTCTTTCATTAAATGCCCCCACTTCATCAAAAGTTGCCAGGGTTGGTGAGGTCCTGTGTCTCCTTCCACTCTGCTGAGCCTGCCAGCATAGATGAGCAAGGGTCAACTACAGTAGGAGGCCTGGTAATGCAGAAATCTGCAAGTTGGGAGCCACACTGATTTTCCTGGCAGTGGCTTGCTGGCATATGTACAGGAGCTTTTGTTAGCTGTCAGTCTGAATGGAATGTCAATCATTCCCTTGGAGCCTGATCTTCAGGCTGAGAGAGGGCTTTTGCCTTCATCTTCATACAGCAATAACTCAGGTCTTTGGAAGCTGGAAGCCCTATTTTTTGTTAAGAAGCCCTTGTGATATTTAGTCCCCATGTGATTTTCTTTTTCAAACCCTATGGAAAAGTTTGAACCCTTTGCAGGTGATATGCTACCAGTTTTTTTAATGCAACAGTTTGGATCACTTATCATGCTCTGGGTCATCTGTCACTTTTGCTGGCAGGAGCCAGATTTCCAGAGTGGAAGCAGGATGAGTTGCTAAGGGATGTCTTGTGCTCTGTATAATTTCTGCATTCACTGATGTGCAGCAGATATATCTGTGTAGTTCAAGGCCTGTCTGTACCAGATGAGTCTGTACTGAAATCTCAGACCATCCCACATGTTCTCCTGGAGAAGACACTAATATTGTTGGTATTCTTTTAAAAGTAGTCTTCTTCTTTATCAGCTAAATGCTGATTTTCTTCCCCTCAGCATCAAAGAACAATGGCTAACTATATCTCTTTTTTGCAGAAATTTCAAAGTTGTGTTGCATAGCATGATTCAGGCATGTACACATGATAGAACTAGATAGAATTAAAGACATTTGTGTTGATCCAGTTAAACTACTGGGTCTTTTTCCTTAGACTGTTTTTTAATATACTGGCCACACATTGTCTCTAACCCTGCCACGCAGCCCTCCTCATCATTATGCTTGAGCTCCTAAGCCTTTTCTTCTCTTCTGTTAAGCCCCTCACTAAATTCTGTTTTCCATCTCCTGTAAGGAGATGCCCTGAGCCTTGGTTCCTATCTATGCAAGCAAGTAAAGCTGATGTGAAGCAGAAATAAAATAAAATCGGAAAGAAAAAATAAAATCACCCTGTAGACTGGAGAGGAGGATAGAATCCAGCCCTCTCTGATTCTTAGTTCCCTTGACACTCCAGTGTATGCTCTATTCCTACCTAACCTTAGTCAAGCTTGCTTATCTGGTCTCTTTCCATTACAGACAGCTGTTTTCCTCCGTGGCAGCCTCTTCCTGATGCTCCTGTGCAGTGTTTCCAGCTCCCCCTTCATCCCTTTCTGTGATTACCTCAAATACATGCTGCTGCAGTAACCAAGTCCATAGGTGACCTCAGCCTTGATGTTATTTATAGCAAAGGTAGACACTGTCCTTCAGTGCAGCTGCTCGTTGTCAGAGCTAAAGATCCTGAGTTATAGAGCTCCCTGGGAGCTTATGGTGGTAGCAGTGTTCCCACATCAAGTGAGATCCAAGTTAGATATTGGAAGGTTTCCTTGGCAGTTAGGCTCTGCTCTTGTGTCACTATCCTGTCTAGGCTGTCCTGAGAGATCCCTAGTAAAGGTGAGGACCCAGTCCTCCCATACAAATGCCTTCAAGAGCAGCACAGGGATAGAAATCATCCCTGCAGTCAGAGGC